GGCAGCCAATAGATGTGTCTCCCTTATGTTGATGTTTCTCTCTCTGTCTCTCTCCCCCAGCTGTGTCCCTGTCTTCCACCCTCTCTAAAAATCAGTGGAAATATATCCTCAGGTGAGAATTAACACAAAAAAAGGTAATAAATACAATTATATAATACAAATAAGTCTAAGTTAAAATAGATATAAATATACTAAACTAAGTGAGCACAGTCCCTCTCATAAGGAAGAGCTGAATACACAGCATCTGCTGTGGTTTCTTGCTCCTCGGCCTCAGGTCATGCCGCTGGTCTTCTCGCTGGGCTGACGACCTCCTGCTGCACACGTGTTTTCTCTTTCCAGAGGATGTCAAGATGGAGCACATCATTCAATAAGTGTTTACTAACTGCATATCACATTCACAGAAACGTATACAAGTACTTCATGCATGTATAGCAACATGTATCTTCACAAAGTAAACACACTATGTGCTGCCACCCAGGTCAAGAAACAACATCACCAATAATTCCAGAAACATCCATGATCTTCCATCAGTCACTTCCCCATTTATTTCCCCTCCACCTCCCCCGCCAAAGGGTAATGTTCTCTGGATTCTAAAACAATGTATTTGTTTGCCCTGGCTTTGTCCTGTATGGGAATGGAATCGTACTGCACATGCTCATTTGTGTCTGGCTTCTTTTATCAACGTGATCTCCATGAGATTCATCCCTATTATTGCACAAAAGGATATTTATTCAGTTCTCATTTCTGTGGTGTAGCCCCTCATGTAAATGTGTGAAAACCTATGTATCCGTTTTCTTAATGTGGGCATCTGGGGGTACTTCCATTTGGAAATTCTGAATAAAGTGGCAATGAATATTAATGTCTTTTTGTGAACAATTTTCTACTGGGCAAATTCTTAGAAGTTGTAACTGCTGGGTCAGATGCTGAGGGCAGGCTGAGTTTTCAGTAAACACCACAAAAGAGTTTTCCAAAGTCGTACTCACTTATCACCATCACCCCCCGCCCCGGCAATGCTTGTAAGTTCCCGGCTCCACACTGTCGCTCCTCGGTATTGTCATATTTCTTCATTTGAGCCAGACTGACTGCTGGGTTATGACATTTAATTGTGGTGCTAATTCACATTTTCTGAGGACTAGGAAAGTTAATTACCTTTGCGAATGTTTACTTGCCACTTTGATATTCTTGGTTGTGAAGTGCCTGTTCAGATCTTTTACTCATTTTCTTGTCTTGCTGGATTGTCTGTCTTTTTCTTATTGGTTTTAGGAGTTATTTATATGTTTTGCACAAGAGTTCTCCCACAGACACATATATCACAGACATTTCCTTCCACTCGGTAGCTTGCATTTTCATTCTATGAATAGCAGCTTCGGGTGAACAGAAATTCTTAATTTCAAGGTAGTCCGATCTATCAACCTTTCTCTTCTACCTAGTGCTTTTAATACTCTGCCGAGTAAGTGTCAGACTGCCGAGGAGTCCTGAGATGAGAGTCTTCTGTCTTATATTTAAGAAGCTTTTTCCTTTCGCCTTCCAGCGCCAGAAGATTATTCTCCCTCAGATACCACTTTTCCCCTATGATTCCTCTATTTAGACAGACAGAATGAATTACTCCCCTTTCTGGGTCTCCATAATGGTATGCATTACTTTTATTATCTCTATTATATTTCACCTTGAATCATATATATTTTCCTGTCCGTCCTCCCTCTCTCATCCCCACACTCTATTCCCTCAAATTATCTGAATTCTTCATGGTCTTTTTTACTGACTCCTAGCCATGATGCCTTCTAAGTAACTCTAAAATTGGTCTCTTTTCCTCCACCCCAACTGCTCCCTTCATATCTAAATGGGTGACCTCTCATTATAAGCACTGTACCAGCCTCTAACCAGTCCCCGACCTGTATCCCACCTTCTCTAATTAACAGGCTACTGCTAGCGTGGATTTCCAGAATATCAGCCTCTCATGCTGCTTTCTTTGCAAAAACCCTGCCATGGTGCCCGGTGCTTTCAACAGTGTTCACCTCATTCATGTGCTGCTGATGTGAAGGATCCCTTTGTCTTTCTCAGCGCTTGGGTCTCAGCTTTACTCTCTAGGACTTTTCTAGTTCCTAGAATGACCTTCATAAAGACTCCTCCGTCTGCTCCATACCCACAACCTTGTCCTCCTTTCCTCTTTCAGATCTCCTCTTCCCACATCTCTTTTAGCAAGAAAACGTTCCTGACTCCCACGTAAGTTAACTCCCCATACAAACTGCCACCATAAAGCACTCATATTTCCCCCCATTGTAAAGCATTATGCCTAATTCTGTTTAAGTCCATCTTTTCTGATGGAGAGTATATTTCCTTGGGGTAGAAACTGTGTCTTGTTACTCCTGTATCCTTATGCCTAGCTCAATGCCAATATAGTTCATACACACACACACACACACACACACACACACACACACACATATGGTAGGGCAAAAGTAGTTGTATAGTTGTTGGTATGAAAAATAAATATGATAATTAATAAATAGTGCAAGAATAAACTTTCACATGCTCACAACTTTAAACTTACTTTTCCTCCACCCTCTATACAGTACAATTGAAATGAACCGATTTGTTCTCAGATGCCCATGGTCTAACATTAAATGTGGCACATAGCCAGTTTTAAGAAAAGTCTTCATGAAACCCTAGTCAGTATTGAAAAGGCCTTAAAGACCACTCGCTTCAATCCTCCAACCCAATGGAATGCTGATTAAATAATCTCTATAATGTTCCTACCAAATGTCTTTTACTTATAACTTGGAGCCAACACACACTTGAGCAGATCACTATAGGTTCAGCATGAAAGTGCATTAGAAGATCTATTTTAAACTGAGTTTGAACTGAGATCTATTTTATGTCAGTTAAAAGCTGGGGTCCTAGGACTTTCCGGTCAGTAGATTGGACTTAGTCCATTTTATCCATTTTAATGAATTTGACCATCTTTTCTGCAAGACAAACCTTTAGGTATTTACAGACAAGACCTTTTGTTCAAAGTCAACCTTCTTCAGCTATTTATCATAAGACACCCTCCTTCTGGCACACTGTGGTTTCTTATATCCCCCTTGAAGTATGAAGTGCAGACATGAATCCAATGCTTCAGGTGTGTCTCCATCAATCAAGAATAGGACAAAACTGTCACCTCCTTTTATGTGGATAATATATTTCTAATAATGTAACCAATGGCAGACCTGGGTTTTGGGGGAATGAAACTTATAGATAAAAGTAATTCAAAATTAGATATGAAAGTGAATATTAAGAAAGAGAAAAGATGATGATTTAGAAGGTGAGGGAACCCTGGACTTCAAGCTTCATTAGATTTATGTTAAATCAGCCTTGAAATGTCCATATGACCTAATAACTTCCTAGTAACATCCTGTGAATACCTCCTAAATTTATCCCAATGCTAACTCGCAGGTCTCTCCACCTCTCATGTGCACAGCAGGGTGATCAATGCAGACTGAAGCCAAACTCCCTGGGTTCAAACTCTGCTGGCACTTCAAGGTCGCTGTAGCTATCACAGGAACTGACATCGCAGGCAGACCTAAGTGAGTTCTGACCTTCTTACCAGACATTGCCAAACCCATCTGTCTACTCTTTACTGAAGGAGGTAGGGTTATTCCTCTATATTTGAGGACATGTTTTATTCTAATACTCAACCACTTTCTTGGCCTGAATTTCCCTGAATTTTCATTCATTGCACCTCAGTGACTCTCCCAAGCCCTCCCTGAACTGTTTTCCAACCATCTTCTCTAACAAGAGCATGCATCAAAGAGTTGCCAAGGAACCAGAATATAAAAGTCATACCAAGCCCTGCTTAGCTCATTCTGCCAATCTCAACCCAACTTTCCTCCCACTGACATTCAAAATCACCCTACTAAGAAGGTCACATTTTGAGTCTGCTCAAAGTTAAAGCATGTCACTTCTTTTCTTGACTATAAAGTTAATACATAATCACCTTAGAAAAGTTAGAAAAGGAGCTGGAAGCCCAAAATAGATAATATATAACCTAATCATCCAGTGGTAACCTCTTTTAACATCTCAGAGTATTTCCTAATTATATTGTTTTTTCCCCTTATTCTTTTACATTATCATGCCATACATTTAATCGGAAACCATCCATTTTTAAATTAACATTATGTCCAATCATTGTCACATACACTTGGAAACACCTTATAAACAATGTTTTAGCACCTGCCTCGTATTATGTTGTATAAAACAGAACCATCTGTATTTAAAACCTTGTCAGTTTCCCCTACAATCTCCTTTCCTCTTTATGATGAATTAATAAGGGTGAAATTACTATTTTTAAAGACTATATTATTATAAAGTCATGCGTATACATGGAAACATCTAACAGACCTGATATAGAATATATATTAAATGAATACAAATAGCAACAAATTAATCCCTGGGATTTTTCCATTCTCACTGCAATGCCAAAGAGCTCTGTCTCTATACCCCAGGCAGTATGGAGTGATCGCATTTGTCAGCTCCGCTACAAGCACATACACATGCACAGACACATGTGTGCAGGAATATACTGAAGACCAGCATTGATGAACAAACAATGAAAAAAATTACTAGAACCAAAAACTCAAACTATCTTATAGCTCTTAGAATTCAAATAATACCTGCCAAAATACATTGAAAAATCAAACACCATAACATATGAAATACAGCCAATATGATATGAAAGTTTAATATATATAATATTAGATCTAGAGCATCTATAAATAACACTGTTTAGACGTTTTCATCAAAATAATCAGATAAAGCTCAAATTTCCAAACTTGGTATCTGAATATTAATTAATAACCACGAGTTTAATGTCTTGTCCATGTTAAATTTTTAAAGAACTTTACATCAGAAAGCCTCATTTTTTATTGTTTTCCTTCTTCTTCACTCTCCCCACACAGCCTGCCTTCTCCAGGCATCCTCTCCCTCCACCCTCTGGTCCCACCATGGCCACCAGCACCTACCTTGAAGGTGAAGTTTGCTCTCGGTGCTTTGCAGAAGGACAGAACTCACAGAGTCCAGATTGTCATAGCTGTTACAGCCCAGGGGCCCAGTGCGTGTCTCTGTGACCTGGAGTAGACATCAAGGGTGACAGATGTGAGACATATCCCCTTGTATGCAAGGTCAGGCCCCCGCAGAGCAAAGCCGACAGAGAAAATCCCAGGCCACAAGCCCATGGCTGCTTCCTGAGCACCTTGCCTGTGCCAAGGGCCATGCCTGCTGTCACCAAGTGGAGGACAAGAAGGCAGGCCAGTCCAACAGACAGGCTGAGGCAGAATGCACAGGCTCTGTCCGTGGTTCGCCACAGAGTCCCTCTAAGTAATACAAGAGCTATGAAGTGAAAACTCTACATTTCAAAAGCATTGCCTTTAGAATCAGGAGCACCAGTGTTAGATCCTGGCTGGTCCACTTATGACCTGACTTCTCTAACCTGTCAATCCTTCCCAGGAAGGTGGCGAGATCAGATGTGATGGATGCAAGTGCCTAGTAATAGGGCATGCATTCAAATAGGGGCATCTAACTGCCAAAAGTCTCTAGGAATTGTAATACATGCATATGCATTATTATCAGGTGAGAACAAATTATCCCTACTTCAAAATAAACTCAGCAAGGAGCACCATCAACACCACAGCAAAACAAAATGCCCTGTGCTTTGGTGGTGCAATTCCAAAACACTATCCTAGAATAGCTGAGTGGTGGACCATGGGGGACCAGCTACTCATAAAGATAACATTGGAATAGGAACGATTTAGAGGATAAAAGAGGCTTTGTCATCCTTTAGCCTTCACTTCCCATCATGTAACACGGGCACTTGTAGAAATGCTTTGCGATTTGCACCCAACTATAAAGCCAACCTTGGCTGCTGCAGGAAGTGATGTCTGGGGAAACATCCTCAGGGACCTCCCAGTGCCAGCTCTGCCCCTGCCAGCTGTGGGAAGCTGGATCTGGAACTTCCTTTCCTAACCCCCAGCATCCCCATCTACAAAATGTCACTAACATTCTCAACCACCTCAGTAGGTGAAGGGATCATATTTTTGAAGTGCCTAACACTTAGGAAACAATAAATAAATGGAGGACCATTTGCTTTAGGATTTTGACAAATTATGCATTCTTTCTTTTCTTTTTTTTTTCTTTCTTTTTTTTAAAAAAAAAAATAATATAGGTATTAGAACATAGCTGTTTTCGAGTGAGAGTCAAAACTATCAATTCGTTTTGCTAGAGATGCCCAGGGAAAGGAAACCATGGGGAAAACTTCCCCACCCAGGTCATCCATGTGTCTTTCAGCTGGCGGGGTCTCGAAAGAATGTCAAGAAATGTCAGGAAAAGTCAAGACCCCAGGTGAGTGGGAAGACAGGGCCTCTGTAGGGAGGGCTCTTGGAGTGGGCTGAGTTTTCTCTGAGAAAGTGCTCCGCCTGCACTTCCTGGATGCACAGCAGAGGATTAGCCTGTGACAGCGCTTTGATTTCTCAATTTGGCCCCTTCCAGTGGGGAGAGAACCATCTGATGATAATAAAAACCAGGCCTTTGCTTCACTCTGACTCTGAAGGCTTCATCAAGATCCGCCTCTCTGTGCCAAATTCCCAAACCACATAATCCCCCCAGTACAGGAGATTCTCGGATAACTGGCTCTTTGTTTGTTGAACTGATTTATTTCTCTCCTTCCTAGCTTCCCCTCTTCAGTAACTCTCTCCTGCCACATTTTCTCTTGCCTTTCACAATTTCTGATTCCTCTGCCTGGGTCTCCCCTATACTGTTCCCTACCCTCCCACACACATACACTTTTTTCCTAGGGACATCATAGAAAGTCTTAATATCAGACTATGTCTGCATTTTATTCAGGGGAAAAATTAGACTGAAGATTGAGAAGTACAAGGCAGGTATAATCTGATTTTAAAAATTTGAAAGGCAAAAAAATCTGCATTGAAACTCCCAGAATTGATTAATTATATTAAAAAGGTCCTCACTTATTCTCTTTGTAAAGAAAAACCCTGAATTTATTGCACTTAAAATGGAATCTGTTTTTTTATTTTTATTTTACATTCCTGTGTAGTAAGGCACTGAATTAAAAGTCTACAGCTGCTCTATTTAGTGTGGCCATTAAAATTAATTAAAATGAAATAAACGTACACATTTAGTTCCTCCGTAGCTACATTTCAAGGGCTCCCTGACCCCTGATGACTGGAGGTTATTGTCTTGGCCAGCACAGACACTGGGAATTCCCATCATCTTGGAAAGTTCTATTGGCTAATGCTGGTGTAGATGAGCATCATGTAGATGAGCCTGACAGATTGCCTGTCTTTGAAAATAAAGTTTTATTGGCAAGCAGCCACACCCATTTATTCACATATTGTCTATGGCTAATTTTTGTGTAATAGCAGCAGAATTGAATTGCAGTAACTGAGACCATATGACCAGCAAAACTTTCCATATTTATTAGCTGGCTGGCCCTTTATAGAAAATAGTCAGTAACTCCTGGTCTAGAGACTAGAGTTCTAGTCCCTGTTAAGGTGCTCTCTATCTGTGAACCCCTGAGCAAATGTCTTTAACCCTTGAATCACAACTTTTCCATCTGTAATATAGGGGTGAGGGATAAAAAAGATAAATGTTGAAGAAATTACTGTAATTCAGTAGCTCTGAGTCCTTAGAAAATAATCTACCCATTGTTGCCTCAGTTTCCTCTTTAAGACAGAGCCTGAAAATCATCCATACAGGAGAACTTTGAGAATGAATGACAAGATTGTTGCTAATTATGTTATGGCCATAGCCAGGGCTGCCCCAGTGAATTAGTACCGATGGTCACCCTAATGACAATCCTCATGCACTTGACCTCATCAATGGGGGGTACTGTTAAGGTACATGAGGGTGAATCCAGAAATTGTATCTGCCCATCAACTCTCAGAACACCTTGGCTGCAGTGCTATTGTCTAAGGAACCTGCCACCCAGCCCACCTCAGGCTGTACCTTGATTGCGCCAGTTGATATCTGGATCTCATGGAGCCTCCTCATGGTGCCATCACGGTCCACAAAGTATGACGATGCAAGCTGGTGCAGAGCTTCAACACTTTGAGTAGCATTCCCTGACTTCCTGTCGAGGCGACTTTTGTCCATGTACATGGTCAAGGCCTCCTCCCCTGCACAGAAAGGAAAGAAGCTCAGGCAGCCCTTCTAGCCTTGGGGTGGGAGGCACAGCTCCGGGTGTGAAGGCTTAAAAGACCCTCAAGCCTCCCACTGGTTTTGCCCAAATTTCCTTCTGCCAATGAAAATAAAGAGCACAAAGAAAGAGAAATAGACCATAGATGGCTTTGAGCACCAAGCTCCATTAAGACAAAGATCACAGAAAAATTCTTAGTCATCAAGTCCAACCCCTACTAATCCACTTCGTATTTCTCAGCAGCAGCATCTCATGACTCACTTTCTCTCTCTGAGGTTCAGTCTCTTCTGTAAATTGATGAATTTGCCATAGATGGCCCCTTTCCATTCCTTTCTCCTCATTCTGTTTTCCTCATCATCATCATCCAGTCTCTCCTTTTCCTTTTCTCTTCTCTCCCCTCACCTCTTCCCTCCTTCCCTTTCTCTCTTTCTCTTTCTGCTCCCCCTTCCTAGATGGACAGATGGCTAGATGGCTGGAAAAGTGGACAGCCAAAGAAATAGATATATAATAGTTGGAAGACAAATAGATAGATAGATAGATAGATAGATAGATAGATATGGACATAGTTGAGAAAACGGGATAGAAAAAAATGTGCTTGTTATAGAGAAAAATCTAAACTGTGAGCTCTGTGAAGTCAGATACTGTCTATATTAGCCACTTCTTTATCCCTGTACAAAGCCCAGTACTCAGCATATAGTTGATAGTAGTAAATGGTTAATATTTTTTCCTTAACTACCTACACATACCAGGCATTGTAATTCTCAGAGTGCAGTGGGGAAGAGGCTACATCCCAGTAAGAAGGTTCACCCACATCAAAATTCCTCTCTGGGTTTCCCAGGCCTCAACTTGAGTTAAGTTCAGAATAGGACATTCCTGTCTGCAGTTTCCCATGAAGCCCTCCTGGTTATCAAAGAGGACATGATCTTGCATCCTTTGAAAAGCATTGCAACCTGAATAGGTTTGGCTTAAAAATTATTTTAGATGCAATAGACTTAGAGTTCAGGATGGCGGATGGCGGCCTGGCGGGGGGGGGGGGGGGGGGGGGGGCAGACTCAGTGCTTCTCCTGGTCAGAAGAAGAGCAAATGCTCTGTTATCATCTGAAGGCTAAATGGATGGGTAGATAGATGGGTGGGTAGATGATTGGCTGAGTAGATGAATAGATAGATGGGTATAAAGGTAAGTGATTAAATTAAGAGAATATGCTGGAAGGTAGAGGCAAGCGGTAGAGGAAATAAGTATTCCAAGGGTCAGTTCAGGCTCTAAGGGCCTGTGAGAGAGGAGGTGAAATCAGCCTGTTCCCTCTGGACTGAAGATTGGCAGCAGCAAACTCTAGATCAAGAGGGGTTAATGGGCTTCTCACTACATTATTAAGACTTAATTCCTTGTTTATTAAGAGACTGTCCTGTTTGGAGTTGCTTTCCCAGTAGGGCATTGCTGCAAATTGCCTCTTCACCTCACAGAGGCCTTTCCTAGTCGTCTGTCCTCAGGGGGGCCCTGCCTCCCTCTCTGCAGCCCAATTTGTCGACTTGCTGAGGGGAACAAAGTGGACTCAGTCACATGGGTAGGGGGAGCTGAGGTGGGAGCTGACCATCTAGCCTTTTCAGTCAATAGGGGCTACAACTTCAATAGGAGGGAGGGGTCTGAGCACCCCTCATCCTTCCCTTCAGGGCTACTATACTAGTAGCCTCTGAGCACCCCTCATCCTTCCCTTCAGAATCCCTGTGACTTTACTCTTAGCCTTCCTCTTAGCCAAGGAGAGATGTCCCACAATGCAAGGTGTGAAATGAGTAGACACACAAACATACACACAAGTACAAAAACGTGAACCCTGGCACATAAAAAAAAAAATCATGCACTTGTGTGTACATTGCACGTGTGCATGTGCAAACTCACATATACCTATATGTGGACATTGCATCCACAAGTCCAATGATGAGCTTGTGTGCAGGTAGGTCCACATACGGGCTGACTTATATCCAAACGCAGGTAGGCATGTGCACACATCTGTCTATGTGTGCTGCAAGCTTATCATGGGCATCACACAGTTACCTAGGCTCCAAGAGGATTCCTTTGGGCCAAATATGATCTTTTGAAGAACTTAGAATAAAAAGTATTCCTATGAGTCACCCTACACCCCCAAAACTTCCCTTCACCACCTTCTGTAAGAAAATCACTCATGCCAAGTATTTTGGGAGTTTAATAGATCTCAGCAAAAAACTGAGGATCCCATGGATATGTCTTAGATGTCATCCCTCCCACAACCTCCACTTCTTCTTTCTCACTCCCTTCCTTCCACTCTCCCCTCCCTCAGAGCCATACAAATGCATTCCTTGTCCCACATGTGACAGTTTATGGATCGCAGTTGTTGTCAGAGTATGCCCTAAGGAACTCACCTGACACCTCAAACAGCTTATCAAAGCATTTCTCCTAAACAGATGGAGAGTTATCCTCAGGAAAAATTACAGTGAATAAAATTTTCTACAACTCCTATATTTAGACAGGAAAACTCATATCTGGACAGAAAAATGACTTGTTCAATGTCTCCCATTCACCTAGTGATTGGTACCTTAGCCCAGTAAATGATAACAAGTATAATATCAATAATAACTATACCAACAACAATAGCAACAATTGGTTATGTACCAAAAAAAATGTGTTAAGTGCACTTCCGAGGCATCCTTTTCTTTAATCCTCACAATCTAAATTAAGTGAGTCCTATAGCTATCTCTAGTATACAAGGGGAAGACTAATTAGAGGGAGAGTAACTTGCCAAGGGGACACAGACCCGGTGAGGAGCAAGTGGCAGGGCAATCACATCCCAGAGCTTGCACTTTCATTCATTACAACTTACCACCTCCTTTTCCTCCCTCCTCATGAAGAGGCCCTTAAGAGATATTTTCCCATGAATGAATGAAGTGATGGTGTGAGAAAGACTCCACAGGATTCCTGGTGCCTTGTGTTCAATCAACAGTCAATCTTTCCCTTCCCCCTGCCCACTCCTCCCCGTGGAGGGAACATCTAGGGCCCGCTGTCCAACACCCAAACTCACTCCAAAGCTTTGCATATTTTAAAATGTTGTGTTATAGAAACAGGAGAGGAGCAAGGCTCTGTGAATAATTCACCACCTCACCTTGGAAAATTAAAAATATATTTCACCGCAAAAGTAAGGTCTGTCATTGGATTTCCAGAGACTCAGACAGAACACAGCCTCTAATGGAAGAACTGAATTGGTCGCAACAATTTTATTTTTCAGGTAAAATGGGAAGTAGGGGAAGTTTAAAAAAAAAAAAAAGGGCTGCAGGTTAATGCAACACTCAGTGGAGAAGTGATTTCATTTTCACTTTACAAGAGAATAGAATTTATACTCCATGATTTAACATTCATAGTCAGACTTCACCTGATCCCTGACTAGCAACAGGAAACAAACCTATGCTGCTAGGTTGTTTTGGGGAGTGGGTGGGCTGGTGGATGAATTACCAATGCATGACTGGTGTTGGGCCAAAAACTAGTGCAGGCTTTGTGGACTGAAAGCCCTAAATTCAAAGATAAGGGTTAATTTTCTGGTTTTGTTTAAATGTATTGAATTTAAAAAAAGAAGAAGAAAGGAAAAAGAAAGAAAGAAAGAAACAGCTTTGTCACTAGCCAGATTCTTCTAAATCTCAGCCTCTTAACCTATAAAATACAGATAATTTGACTTAACGCGCAGTTTTGGAGGATGAAAGATAATATACAATGTGTGGTATGGACATATACTCAATATTAGTAGCTATTACTGTAAGAATGAATGAATTTGCCAAACCAATCCACGTTCCTCACATCATCAATTTTCTAATCTGATCTCCCTCAAAATCCAACTGCCTGCTCAGCCTAGAAAGTTTCTCTCCTTCCCTCCACCTGGTCAGCTCCTGTCCACCTGACAGCCACTTTGCTCCCTGCCTGTGTATGAACCACGGCGGCCCATGGTGCCCACCCCTCCGCTGAAGGAGAAGACATCTTGGATCCTGAGTAGCTGCCATACGCCCTATCCAAAGGCCACTGAGCAGCTCTTAGAAGCGGGCATGGTCACTTCCCACCAAAGGGTTTTCTCAGACTTCAGTGGATCCAGACACTGTAGTGGAAGAAAACCGATGACCGAGGGATGGCAGTGTAGAACATAAAATGATGCAGGCAAGACCCATGAGCATGTAAATGCAGTAGTCTCTACCATCTCCCTTTTTTGCATTTCTTTGCTGCCTTTTATCCTCCTTTCTTCTCCTTACATCCTAAAGACTGATTGGACTTGGGAGGGATGGGCAAGGCTGAGCAGGGTGGAGCAGCCCATAGAAGACACCAATGATATCCCCTTTGTGAAATTGAACCTCAAGCTATCAGTCTCTCAAGCAGATTTAAATTAACAAAGGCAATTCTCCAAACAACACCTGCATTGTAATCATTTCCCCAGATCAGACTACATTGCCGAAGGAACTAACACAACAATCAAATGAAGCATTCCCAACAACAAACTGAACTCATTCCAAGACGAAACCATGCTTCCACAGAAGTTAGTAAAGTGTCAAGAGAGACAGCCCCAGCCAACAGAATCAACTGCTCTGAGATGACCACAAAAACCGAGACAACCTGACTGAGGGGCCATATCCGCTTTGGGGAGATGGGCCATGGCAAAATGTCAGTTCAGCTTGGATCTCAGGGCAGCCCACCCTCCCCCTCCTTCCCAGATCCAAAACCGTGAGGAGGCTCTGGCCCCCTGGCTGTCGACCTACCTCCCAAGGTGGCAGAGATGAGGAGGTGGGTGCCGTACTTTTTGATGATGGTGTCGATGAACTGCTGAGTGGTGGGTCTCCTGCCCAGTAGGCGGATGCTCCTTTGAAACTCCGGCATGAGGGGCACTGGGTGACGGACCAGGTCTCTCCTCTCGATGGCTGTGTTCCTCACCTTCCAACGGGCAAACTCCCTGCGCAGGAGAGATGAGTGAGACTCTGCAACTTACCCCCTCTGCCCCAAGCCAACGCCTACCCACCATCCTGACACCCCTCTTATGGGAGAAAGTGACTACAGGTCTTCATAGTTGTCAAGTGATACTTAGTGCCTGAGCTCTCATCTTCTTCAGCCAACAAATATTTATTGAACACATTTCTCATCCCTGGGGGACTTCGGTGAACCAGAGAGACACAGTCGTGTTCTCATGTTGCTTACAGAGTAGCAGGGATACAAACGTACCACTGTTGTCTCCATCCATATCCACCTCTCTCACTAGACTGTGAACGATACCATAGAAATGGTATAGTCCTAGGTACATGTTACATGGTAGGGCTAATGAGAATGCTAGCTGGATGAATAAATCAACAAATGAATGGATGAAAGGGAAGAAGGGAGGGACAAAGGGGGAGGCAGGCTGTGTAACAATGGGTAAGATCTACAGCACAAATTGAGACCTGTTCTAAGACAATTACAAAATCAAATAAGCCCAGAGCTCAGTTTAATTTAAAAATTCAATATGAATTCATTGAGCAACTATAATCTGGAAGAAATTAAGCTGGGTTCTCAGGTCTGGGCGGGATAGGGGAGTTTTATCTTTCCTTCACTAATGGTAAGATAGAGCAAGACCAGAAAGCACTGAACTTGGGAGTCCAACTCAGCAGGCTTTCACTCTGCCTCTTGTCAACTGTGATGCAATCTTGGACAGAGCATGTCACTTCTCTGAGCCTACCTTTCCTCATCTATAAAATCCAACTAATAGTATCTCTCTCCTACGAAGCACAGGTTCCATGAAGCATAGAGTCTAAAATACTTTTGGAAACTGCCAGGCCCTAATTCAGTGTGTAAGATCGCTTCATAGCATTATTTCCTCACAAATTCCCAGACACCTAAACCATTAAAGGTTCCCGGATGATGGACAAGGAGCATGCACACTGAATCCCATAGGAACTTAAGGGACCTTGGTTCAGGTGCCCTTTGCTTTAGTAATGACCTCTGTTCTTAGCAAAGACCAAGTTACCCAGGAATAATCAGCTCTCCAACCTGCCTGAGTTACAAGCTCTAGGTCCCTTGAGAAAAACAGACCAACCAAGAGGAGTGTAAGGTCAGCATAGATAAATGATGGGAACCTGAGTTTAATGAAAAGGTCTCTCTCTCCTGCCACAGGATGGGAGAGAGAAATGAAGGATGGGGCAGGGAGCAAGAAGAGGTGAAGAGTGGGGGAATCCTGCCGGACATGCCCAGGTAATTCAGAGGTAGCTTCTGATCCCTGACACAGAGGATACTGGGTGTGAAGAAAGCTTTCACATCAGAATATGTTTCCAAGCCTCGGAGCTAGAGCCTAGGTCTGCTTAAGGAAGGAATCTATGTCCATAATTCACAGCAGTTCAAATTCTAAATAAAGTGAGCTCAGTATCATAGACATGGGTACTTATTAAATCAATCCGCTGCACTCAGTGAACCCTTGAAGGGCACAGAGGATCATGTCTACAAAGGGGGACGGGCACGTCATGGTCCTGGGTCCTGAAGAAGCTCACAGTCTGGCAGGGAAGAGAAAATTTCAATTTATTGAAAATCAAGGACTAAAGAATTCAGACAAAGGAACCCAGACGTCTCAGGTCTCCCAAGGGTGCTCCATAGAGGTCACACCTGAACTATTGTTTTGAAGTTCCCATAGGACTGAGACACAAGGAAATGCTGTTAACACAAGAAAACACACACAGTTATGCATGTGGAGGAAAGGGCAGGAGTACAGTGAGTGAGAGGGGGGTACATAACGCTTATGGGAAGGGCTGAACAAGACAGGAGATGCAGGAAGAAGGGGGTGAAGATGTTGACAAAATGGGGCAAGTGGGGTGACCAGATATGTGGAAGGGTAGGGGATATGAGAGCTAGTGATGAGGAATTCCATAGATGTGATAAGTGGCTTGGACATGAATCCCAACGACCCTAGGCCCCTGGTGTTCACACCCCATGTAATCTCTTCCCAATGAGTGTGGGTACAAGTGGACCCTGCAGCTTGCTTCTAAAGAATAGAATAGGAAGGGGAGTGAATGTTACTTTCATGATTACATTACACAATATGGCCACTTCTTTCTATATATTTCTCTCTACATAATTTTAATTAAAAAAAAGAAAAACACATATCCTTGGGTGAGAGTAAAAATAGAAAGCAATAAGAATCATCAGCTATTTCTGAAGAAAACATTCTTTCCTCATCAGATTGTCCCTGAAATTTATTGAATTATATTAAATTATATACATTAGTTATGAAGTTATATATATGAATGTATACACACACACACTATATATACACACACACACACACACACACACACACATATATATATATATATATATATATATATATATATATATATACACACACACACACACACACACACACACACACACACACACACACTAAGTAATATAGGAAGTCAATAGAAAGTTTTGAACCATGATCCAATCAGAATAATGTTTGAAAAGAGGAGCAGGCAATCTTGTTTTCCGTAAAGGGCCATTATAGTAAATATTTTGGTTTTGCTACCATAAACAATACATACATAAGTGAGCATGGCTGTGTTCTGCTAAAACTTTAGTTACCAAGCAGATGGCAGGCCGGATTTGGCACAGAGGGAGTATGACCCCTGTTCTAAAAGCATCACTGGTGCCTTTCATAGAAGTCATCAAATTTAACTCACTCAACCTACAGATGGGAAAACTGAATTTCAAAGACATTAAGTTATTTACCCAAGATCACACAACATGACTGGCAGGGCTGAAATCAGGCCCTACTCAGCACTCCAAATATAGTGCCCTTTCCATTGCAAATTCGACCTTTAACACACACACACACACACACACACACACAGAGAGAGAGATACTTGTTTAAAAAAAAAAAAAGTAAAAAGTAAAAGAGAGTGAGAAAGCCGTGCTCCTCATCCTGCCTAACTGCTCTGCTGGCCCAGGAACAATGCCATGTAAGTCCTCAGTGCATTGAGCACAATGGAATGCATATCTTTCCTTCTGAACCCACAGCGCAAGTAGGTTCCCCTTGGAGGAGAAGGAGCACTCACAAAGGCACAGGATCCCTGGAATACCCTTATGCCCAATGAAGCCTCCCAGCAGGCCAGGCATACCAATCAGACTGAAACTAAAAAGGGATGCTGGATTGGGGGCTGGGAGTGGCTGCAGCAAGGCCCATCCCAATGAGGGACTGGAAGACGGAGGCTCCTGATGACAGAGGCAGAGGATGGATGGAAACTGGGATCGGGGTGGTAGGACTTCAGATAAGGCTGGAGAGAAGATGGTCAATCCAACGCTAAGCATCGCCTGGGTAGGAAAGCTCACCCTCTTTACTAGCGCTCTGTTCTCCTATGTATGTGTGCATGAACCAACTCCCCAACACACACACACACACACACACACACACACACACACACACACACCCATTCAATGACACACTAAGCATGAGGTGGCACTGAAGGAGAAAAGGTGGTAAGACAGACAAGAGAACTGGGAACTGGCACTGTGCCCTAAAGAGATAAGCTGATGTATTAGATGGTCTACAGCTCTGGGTCTCACAGCTGTGGGGAGAAAAATCTTGGGTTAAAACCTGACTCTGCCACTGATTAGCTGTGAGACAGAACAGCGGTCATCAACCTTTCGGACCTCACGGACCACCAGTGGTCTGAGGACACCAGTTGGAGACAGCTGAGATAGAGGACAAGATTGCTTACAGTCTGTGAAATGTGGATGTGATCCAGAGAATGCATGTCTACCGTAAAGGGATGGGTTTAGAACTGTATTAATTCACGAAGCACAGTCAGTACCTAGAACATAAGACCTCAATAACACTCTAGCATTCAAGGCATTATCAATATTCTAGCTGTCGCTATGCTTATAGGAGAGGCTTTAATGGGAAGGTGAGTGACAGTAGATGGATGGTAGGATGGGAGAGAGGGGGGAAATAATTGTGATCTTTTAAATGTCACCAGTAGATAGACCTTCTGGGGTAAGTGGGGTTTGAATCTTGCAATGTATGGTACCAGTACTGTGTCTGAATCGAAGAAATGCACGGAGAGTTTATAAACGCACTTCTAATCTCTTTCCTCCCATATGCCATGCAGACCAACAACATGCATCACCATGTAGTGTGCTGAGTTAAATGAAATAATGGTTGGAGAACTTCTTGGCAAATTGCATTCTTGGTAAATTGCAACAGGGTACACACAATTGTCAGCTGCTGTTGGTATAGGGCACATGTATAAAGATGCTTCCATTGCTTAGAGTTTTCTTTTGTGTTTCTTTCTGAAAAATGGGGGTGGTGACAATTTCTACTTTTCGGGGCCTTGAGAGAGCACCCCCAGGGAGAGTGCTGGAGAATGGGAGTTCCTCCATAGCTGAGGCTACTAATGATGAGGGAGAAGTGAAGGGCAACTCTTCTCTTCTTGACAGCATGTTTTACAGGTTGTTTTTTTATTTTTAAATTAAATCTGATCTCATAACGGAAACAATTGGAGGTGATTTTCAAAAAACACATTCCATATAGACTCAAAAGTACAGAAAAATAAAAAAAATACTAGAGAAAAATGAAATAAATTTTGGGTTAAAATGAACATGCAACATTAAGTCTATGAAGTCCTGTACGTTTGATCAAAATGGACTGTCAATGTTTCTGAGCTTCCCTGCAGCCAAAGGGAAAAGAGAATTCCATCCAAAAGACCCACACAGTCAAGGTTCCCTAAACCAAAGGTCACCAACCTTTCAGACCTCATGAACCACCAGTGTCCATGGCCCACTGGGTGGCAACCGCTAGTCTAGAAGATAACTGAGCAGTTGTTCAAAGTTGCTGTAGAAACACAGATGTCCTGGATATTATGTTAGGACACAACAACCTTCCATAATTTCAAATAAAAAAGTGGATGTAATGGATGCTGGTAGGAGGTGTCTCCAACCATACCCCATTGTTTG